CCTGATGGCTTTTGGCGACCCCTCCAACATCCCCTCGCGACCTCCCCAGGGATCCCAACCCCCAGGTTGAGAAACACTGTGTTAAGGAGTTATGAAGGTGGAGGCATTACTTTTCATTCAACCCTCGTACTTTCCAAGACTGATCAGAGTCTAGCAGCATCTGGAAGGCCATCAGTCCCACCTGTGGTTTAGGAATCATAAACCAAGGCTGGATACTTCGCACTTTAACAACACAATCATTCAATGCTAAGGCTTCCTGCCAAAATGGAACTGTAGAGGAGAGTCTACTGAACAAGCCAGTACCTGCCGCATACCAGTACTGCCATCTGTTGAGGAGTTACAAAGGTGGAGGCATTACTTTTTATTCAACCCTTGTACACTCAGGAGTGAGGGATGATGGGAACTGTAGTCTAGCAATCAAGAAAGCTACATATTCCCAGTCCTTCAAAGAAAACCATAAGTTGGACATGACTTGAAGGCAAACAACAACAAGAAAAAAACAACTTTCTAAATCATTCTTATCTAAATTCTATTTACTATGATTTTTTTTATGACTCAGCTTATGTTCTTGGTGCCTCAAGGTTATTAACTGGAAGACTTGCAGGCATCTGAAAAGCAATTACTACACATTATAAATAAGTACCAATTAAACTTATGTTAGTAAAAAAAAGTACTAATTACTTCCCAGTCTCAAGGTGAAAATCTTGGTATGAAAGGTATGTTCAGGGGCAGATCCTTGGCATAAATTAAGTGCTGTAAGTTTGTTGTTTTCATGGAAGTGGGATATGTTTTGATTCTTCGTATCTAGAAACTATAGAGAAAAGGCAGCTAGTACTTGTATTTGGATGCCTCTGTAAATAATATTATTATTTGATGCTGCTTTAACTGCGATGGCTCAATGCTATAGAGCCCTGGGATTTGTAAAGAATTAGTGTGGCACCAGCAATCTTTGGCGGAGAAGGCTCAGTAACTTTGAGAACTCCAACTGCCATGGTTTCATAGCACTGAAAGTGGTGCCAAACTGCAGTCGTTCTACGAGAAATAGTTCTTGGATTGGTAAGGCTTCAGACCTTGCAAAACTACAACTCCAGTGGTTCAATTTAACAGAGTAATGGCAGTTCTAGGTCAGGGAAGGCTGCAGACCTTGTAAAACCACAACTCCAATGGTTCCATACCACTGAGCAATGGCAGCTCTAGGGAAGGGTGCACTGCAGACCATGCAAAACTACAATTCCAATAATTCCATAGCACTGAGTAATGACACTTCTTGGATTGGAATGCCTGTAGACCTTGAAAAACTACAACTCGAATGGTTCCATTACACAAGATGTACCCATAGAAGCAAAGCCTGGGAGAGTTACACTGTCGTACTACAAGTCCCAGTGTCTCCTAACCATTGTAGTAATACCATCCCCATGCTTTGTACATTGTGGTGGCTCTGCTGGGAAGAAAATGCACTCTGCAGCTGCTCAGAGGCCCTCTTTTTTCATGCGATAAATAAGCCATCAAACCCTGTGATTTGAGGCCAAAATAAGAGGAACTTTGGGAAACCTTCTTCAGAAATACATCTCAAGGAAGAGAAGTCACTGTCAGGACAGAACAGAGCTAGGAATTTTAACTGAGGAGGTTGCTTCAGAATGGTTTAGAAATCTTGGGGTGCATCTATGTCACAGAATTAATTCAGTTTGACACCACTTTTAATGGCTATCGAATCCTGGGAGTTGTAGTTTTACAAGGTCTTTCACCTTTTCTGCGCAACTACAGATCTTGTAAAACTACAACTCGAATGGTTCCATTACACCGAGAAATAGTTCTTGGATTCGTAAGGCTTCAGACCTTGCAAAACTACAACTCTAGTGGTTCAATTTAACAGAGTAATGGCAGTTCTAGGTCAGGGAAGGCTGCAGACCTTGTAAAACCGCAACTCCAATGGTTCCATACCATTGAGCAATGGCAGCTCTAGGGAAGGGTGCACTGCAGACCATGCAAAACTACAATTCCAATAATTCCATAGCACTGAGTAATGACACTTCTTGGATTGGAATGCCTGTAAACCTTGAAAAACTACAACTCGAATGGTTCCATTACACTGAGAAATAGTTCTTGGATAGGCAAGACATCAGACCTTGTAAAACTACAACTCCAATGGTCCATAGCATTGTAACCTGCCTGGAGCCATGAGGAGAGACAGGTAAGAAATAATAATAATAATAATAATAATAATAATAATAATAATAATAATAGTTGTTGTTGTTATTATTATTATTATTATTATTATTATTATTATTATTATTATTGGCCAAGCCTTTTTCCAAATAATCGATGTGATTGTGTGAAATCTGTTGCTTAAGTTTAAAGTGTATGAAATCCTTATCAGTTTAAAGTAGGGATGGGAATCAGGCAGCTTTTCGGAGAATCGGAGAACCTGAGTTGGAAAAGACCACAATTATATGGAATATTGGGATTTGTAGTTCAGTGAGGAACCAGTATTCTTTGTCAGAAAAGGCTACAGACAGATCCAATGCTTCCATAGCACTGAGCAATGGCAACTCTTGGGCAGAAAGGGGTAAATACCTTGCAAAACTGCAACTCCAATGGTTCCATAGCAGTGAGTAATGGCAGTTCTTTGGCAGATAAGGCTGCAGACCTTGCAAAACTACAACTCCATAGCACTGAGTAATGGCAGCTCATGGGCAAAAACGGGTAACATCTTGCAAAACTACAACTCCAATGGTTCCATTGCTCTAAGCAATAGCAGCTCTCGGGGAGGGAAGGCTGCAGATCTTACAAAACTACAACTCCAATGGTTCTACAGCACTGAGTAATGACAGTTCTTGGGCAGATATAGCTGCAGACCTTGCAAAACTACAACTCCAATGGTTTCATTTAACGTAGTAATGGCAGTTCTAGGTCGGGGAAGGCTGCAAACCTTGTAAAACTACAACTCCAATGGCTCCATACCACTGAGCAAGAGCAGTTCTAGGAAAGGATGCAGACCATGCAAAACTACAACTCCAGTGGTTCCATAGCACTGAGTAATGACACTTCTTGGGCAGATATGGCTGCAGACCTTGCAAAACTAAAACTCCAATGGTTCCATTTAACTGAGTAGTGACGATTCTAAGTCAGGGAAGGCTACATATCTTGTAAAACTACAACTCGAATGGTTCCATTACACTTAGAATAGTTCTTGGATTGGAAAGGCTTCAGATCTTGCAAAACTACAACTTCAGTGGTTCAATTTAACAGAGTAATGGCAGTTCTAGGTCAGGGAAGGCTGCAGACCTTGTAAAACCACAACTCCAATGGTTCCATACGACTGAGCAATGCCGGTTCTAGGGAAGGGTGCACTGCAGACCATGCAAAACTACAATTCCAATAGTTCCATAATACTGAGTAATGACACTTCTTGGGTTGGAAAGACTGCAGACCTTGCAAAACTACAACTCCAATGGTTCCATTACACTGAGAAATAGTTCTTGGATAGGCAAGGCATCAGACCTTGTAAAACAACAACTCCAATGGTCCCATACCACTGAGCAATGCCAGTTGTAGGGAAGGGTGCAGACCATGCAAAACTACAACTCAAATGGCTCCATAGCACTGAGTAATTACATTTCTTAGGTTGTAAAAGCTGCAGACCTTGTAAAACTACAACTCCAATGGTTCTATACCACTGAGCAATGGCAGTTCTAGGGAAGGATGCAGACCATGCAAAATTACAACTCCAGTGGTTCCATAGCACTGAGTAATGACACTTCTTGGGCAGATATGGCTGCAGACCTTGCAAAACTACAACTCCAATGGTTCCATTATACTGAGAAATAATTCGTGGGTTGGAAAGGTTTCAGACCTTGTAAAACTACAACTCTCCAATGGTTCCATTGCACTGAGAAATATTTCTTGGATTGGAAAGGCTGCGGACCTTGTAAAACTACAACTTCAATGGTTCAATTTAACTGAATAGTGGCGGTTCTAGGTCAGGGAAGGCTGCAGACCTTGTAAAACTACAACTCCAATGGTTCCATTACACTGAGAAATAGGTCTTGGGTAGGGATGGCTTCAGACCTTGTAAAACTACAACTTCAATGGTTCCGCAGCACTGAGCAGGAGCAGTTCTTGGGCAGATAAGGCTGCAGACCTTGCAAAACTACAACTCCAATGGTTCCATGCCACTGAGCAATTGCAGTTCTAGGGAAGGGTGAAGATCATGCAAAACTACAATTCCAGTAGTTCCATAGCACTGAGTAATGCCACTTCTTGGGTTGGAAAGGCTGCAGACCTTGCAAAACGACAACTCCAATGGTTCCATTACAATGAGAATTAGTTCTTAGTTAGGGAAGGCTGTACACCAGTGTAATGGTTCCATTACACTGAGAAATAGTTTTTGGGTAGGGAAGGCTGTAAACCTTGTAAAACTACAACTCCAATGGTTCCACAGCTCTGTGCAATAGCTGTTCTTGGGCAGATAAGGCTGCAGACCTTGCAAAACTACAACTCCAATGGTTCCATTACGCTGAGAAATAGTTCTTGGGTAGGGAAGGCTTCAGACCTTGCAAAACTACAACTCCAATGGCTCAATTACACTGAGAAATAGTTCTTGGACAGGGAAGGTTTCAGACCTTGTAAACTATAACTTCAATGGTTCCATTTAACTGAGTAGTGGTCAGGGAAGGCTACAGACCTTGTAAAACTACAACTCCAATGGTTCCATTACACTGAGAAATAGTTCTTGGGTTGGAAAGGCTGTAGACCTTGTAAAACTACAACTCCAATGGTTCCATACCACTGAGCAATGATAGTTCTTGGGCAGGGAAGGTCTGCAGAACCTTGTAAACACTACAAACTCCGGGGATCCCCATAGCATGGAGCCAGGGCAGCTAAGGCGGGGTGGAACTCTCAATCCTCCAGTGCAGACGCACTCTGGGAAGGTGGGGTTGCTGCCCTCCTTCTCCCCGTCCTGCTGGCTCCAACCCCAAAGGACCTTGAGTTCAACTCACCCAGCTTCTTAAAGGCGCGGTGCCCGGAAAGCTTGGCAGCGGAGGCGGCGACTCCTCCATAGGTTTGGGCTGGGATCGGAGGCTCCGTTGGCGGCGGAGGAGGCTGTTGCTGGTGGTGGCGGTGTCGGCCACGGCGGTGGCTTTCCGAGCGGGACTTTTTCCATTTGCCACAAATCATGGCTCCACTTCCAATCTGTTTTGCTCCCTTCTTCCTTTTGCCCGCTGTCTGGAGAGGAGAGAAGGCAGCCTGCCCTCTCCCGGCGCCTCTGTCTCTCTCTCTTTCGCTCTCTTTCTTTCTTTCTTTCTCTCTCTCTCTCCCTCCTTCCTTTCCAGTCCAGCCTCCTTCTCTGACTGGGAGCAACGCACAGATTGGAGGGAGAGAGGCCGGGCTTGGGAAGGGACTCACATTTCAGCATCGCAAAGCAAAAGGAGGCTTAACTCTTTCCAGACCCGTCGTCGCCCCTCCTTTTGGGAGGAGAGAAGCTGGCCCTCTTCACAGGTTTGTTTCTCAAACTTTGACCAAAATCAAAGCCTATACTTTTATGTTTTCCTTAGAGGCTGAGAGAGTGCGACTTCCCCGAGGAGACCCTCCCAAAGGGTCTTCTTGGCCTATTCTTTTTGGTCCTTGTTTTCTTCTGAAGCTTATACTTCCCCAAGATTCCCCCTTGAGTGCTCCAGCTAGAGGTCAGCTGTGACCAGCAGTGCTGTAGAATTTGAAGAGGTCCTTGTTTTCTTCTGATGCTGAGACTTCCCCAAGATTCCCCCTTGACTGCTCCAGCTGGAGGTCAGCTGTGACCAGCAGTGCTGTAGAATTTGAAGAGGTCCTTGTTTTCTTCTGAAGCTGAGACTTCCCCAAGATTCCCCCTTGAGTGCTCCGGCTGGAGGTCAGCTGTGACCAGCAGTGCTGTAGAATTTGAAGAGGTCCTTGTTTTCTTCTGAAGCTGAGACTTCCCCAAGATCTCCTTGAGCGCTCGAGCTGGTGGTCAGCTGTGACCAGCAGTGCTGTAGAATTTGAGGAGAATTTCTTCTGAAGCGGAGACTTCCCCAAGATCCCCCTTGAGTGCTCCATCAGGTGATCAGCTCTGACCAGGAGTGCTGTAGAATTTGAAGAGGTCCTTGTTTTCTTCTGAAGCTGAGACTTCCCCAAGATCTCCTTGAGCGCTCGAGCTGGTGGTCAGCTGTGACCAGCAGTGCTGTAGAATTTGAGGAGAATTTCTTCTGAAGCGGAGACTTCCCCAAGATCCCCCTTGAGTGCTCCATCAGGTGATCAGCTCTGACCAGGAGTGCTGTAGAATTTGAAGAGGTCCTTGTTTTCTTCTGAAGCTGAGACTTCCCCAAGATCTCCTTGAGCGCTCGAGCTGGTGGTCAGCTGTGACCAGCAGTGCTGTAGAATTTGAGGAGAATTTCTTCTGAAGCGGAGACTTCCCCAAGATCCCCCTTGAGTGCTCCATCAGGTGATCAGCTCTGACCAGGAGTGCTGTAGAATTTGAAGAGGTCCTTGTTTTCTTCTGAAGCTGAGACTTCCCCAAGATCTCCTTGAGCGCTCCAGCTGGAGGTCAGCTGTGACCAGCAGTGCTGTAGAATTTATTTATTTATTTATTTATTTCAGTTACTTCTACCCCGCCCTTCTCACCCCCGAGGGGGGACTCAGGGCGGCTTACAAACGAAGGCACAATTCGATGCCTAAATCAATTAAACAAACATACATAAAAGCAATTTAAACAATTAACAAGTTAAAAACATTAATACATTGTAAGATAGCAAAACAATCTCATGCTCAGTGTTCAGAGTCCGTTTATCCATTCCATTCCGTTGGCCCATGTTTAACGTCAGATCTTTCCTTAGCTGCCAGAATGTCCAAAAGCTTGGTCCCATATCCAGGTCTTCAGTTTTTTCCTGAACACCAAAAGGGAAGTCGCTGATCTAATCTCCCCGGGGAGTGAGTTCCACAGGTGAGGGGCCACCACTGAGAAGGCCCTGCTCCTCGTCCCCGCCAACCTAACTTGTGATAGTGGCGGGGTCGAGAGCAGGGCCTCACCAGACGATCTTAAATTTCGAGATGGGATGTAGATGGGAAGAGGTCCTTGTTTTCTTCTGAAGCTGAGACTTCCCCAAGATTCCCCCTTGAGTGCTCCAGCTGGAGGTCAGCTGTGACCAGCAGTGCTGTAGAATTTGAAAAAGTCCTTGTTTTCTTCTAAAGCTGAGACTTCCCCAAGACTCCCTTGAGCTCTCCAGCTGGAGGTCAGCTGTGACCAGCAGTGCTGTAGAATTTGAAGAGGTCCTTGTTTTCTTCTGAAGGTGAGACTTCCCCAAGATCTCCTTGAGCGCTCGAGCTGGTGGTCAGCTGTGACCAGTAGTGCTGTAGAATTTGAAGAGGTCCTTGTTTTCTTCTGAAGCCGAGACTTCCCCAAGATCTCCTTGAGCGCTCCAGCTGGTGGTCAGCTGTGACCAGCAGTGCTGTAGAATTTGAAGAGGTCCTTGTTTTCTTCTGAAGCGGAGACTTCCCCAAGATCTCCTTGAGCACTCGAGCTGGTGGTCAGCTGTGACCAGCAGTGCTGTAGAATTTGAAGAGGTCCTTGTTTTCTTCTGAAGCTGAGACTTCCCCAAGATCCCCCCTTGAGCGCTCGAGCTGGAGGTCAGCTGTGACCAGCAGTGCTGTAGAATTTGAAGAGGTCCTTGTTTTCTTTGGAAGCTGAGACTTCCCCAAGACCCCCCTTAAGTGCTCCAGCTGGAGGTCAGCTGTGACCAGCAGTGCTGTAGAATTTAAAGAGGCACAAATCAATGCCGCTGTACCGACCACGTTGTCCGGATGCCTGATCACCATCTCCCAAAGCAGCTACTCCAAACTTTTTTGGAGAAACTTCAAGTTGCTTCTGGTGTGAGAGAATTGGCCGTCTGCAAAGACGTTGCCCAGGGGACGCCCGGATGATTTAATGTTTTATCATCTTTATGAGAGGCTTCTTTCATGTCCCCGCATGAGTAACTGGAGCTGATAGAGGGAGCTCATCCATTCAAATGGCCTTTTTGTCATTGCTTTCCTCTGAGGCTGAGAGAGTGTGACTTCCCTAAGGTCACCTATTTATAGCCACCCTTGCAAAGGATTTTTTTGGGGCAAATTTTGTCATTGCTTTCCTCCAAGGCTGAGAGAGAGCGACTTCTCCATATGCCACTTATTTAGGGCAACTCTACCAAAGGATCTTCTTGGCAAAAGAAGACCCTATTCTTCTTTTGCCATTGGTTTTCTCTGGGCTGAGAGAGTGCAACTTCCCCGAGGAGACCCCGCCAAAGGGTCTTCTTGGCCTAAGAAAAGCCTACTATGCTTTCATATCCTTGTTTTCTTCTGAAGCTGAGACTTCCCAAAGATCCCCTTTTTCAAGACAAATGGCCTTTTTGCCATTGCTTTCCTCTGAGGCTGAGAGATTGTGACTTCCCTAATATCACTTATTTATAGCAACCCTTGCAAAGGATTTTTTTGGCAAAATCAATAATAATCAAAAATGTAATGTTCGTTTGTGGGATTAACATAGCTCAAAAACCACTGGATGAATTGCCACCAAATTTGGACACAAGACACCTACTAACCCAAGGAGTGACCATCATTCAAAAAAATGATTTTGTCATTTGTGAGTTGTAGTTGCTGGGATTTATAGTTCACCTACAATCAAAGAGCGTTCTGAACTCCATCTATGATGGAACTGAACCAAACTTAGCACACAGAACTCCCACAACCAACAGAAAACACTAGAACAGTTTGGTTGGCATTGACCTTGAGTTTTGGAGTTGTAGTTCACCTATATCCAGAGAACACTGTGGAATCAAACAATGATGGATCTGGACCAAACTTGGCACTGATACTCAATATGCTCAAATGTGAACACTGGTGGTTTTGTACTCTTGGCCAAGTTTGTTTTCCAGCAAATATCAGGATAGTTGAAATCGCCCATTACTACTGTATCTCTTCTTTGTGCCTGTTTGGTCAACTGTTGACAGAAGGCTTTGTCGAGTTCTTCATTCTAGCGTGGAGGTCTAGTAGATGCCCACAACGAGATGTTTTTTTGAGTCCTGGTTCCCTTGATTCTTGTCCAGATGCTTTCAAGCTGGTTTCCTGGATTATTTATTTATTTATTTACTTTATTTATATACCGCTTTTCTCAGCCCTCAGGCGACTCAAAGCAGTAAACAACATTGATACAAAACATCACGAGACAAGTATTGGGCAATTAAAAACAATTGTAACATAAATCATTAAACATCAGTATAACAATCATTAACAGTAAAATCAGAATCCAGTCTCATCATCCATTATTCCGTATTCCTATGTTCAATTACACTGTTTAATCAAATGCCTGCTCGAACAGCCAGGTCTTCACTTTCCTCCGAAACGCCAGCAGGGAGGGGGCCAATCTGATATCTGCAGGCAGGGCGTTCCACAGCCGAGGGGCCACCACTGAGAAGGCCCTGTCTCTCCCCCGCCAAGCGTGCTTGTGATGCAGGCGGGACAGAGAGCAGGCCCTCCCCAGATGATCTTAATGTCCTAGTCGGTTCATAGGAGGAGATGCGTTCGGAGAGGTAAGTAGGGCCAGAACCGTTTAGGGCTTTATAGGCTAACGCCAGCACTTTGAATTGTGCCCGGTAGCAAACTGGCAGCCAGTGGAGCTGGCGCAACAGAGGAGTAGTATGCTCCCTGAGTGCCGCTCCTGTTAGCAACCTGGCTGCCGAACGCTGGACCATTTGAAGCTTCCGAGCAGTCTTCAAAGGCAACCCCACCTAGAGAGCGTTGCAGTAGTCTATACGGGATGTAACCAGAGCGTGGACTACCGTGGCCAAGTCAGACTTCCCAAGGTACGGGCGCAGCTGGCGCACAAGTTTTAACTGTGCGAATGCTCCCTTGGTCACCGCTGAAATCTGGAGTTCCAGGCTCAGCGACGAGTCCAAGATCACACCCAAGCTGCAAACCTGCGTCTTCAGGGGGAGTGTAACCCCGTCCAACACAGGCTGTAACCCTATGCCCTGTTCGGATTAAAGTCTTGCATCTCTTCTGAGGAGTAACTGTTTTCCCTTCCTCTCCCCTTGTTCTGTTTCTGTGAAAGAGGGTATATTTCCCTCGATGGCTACATTCCAGTGATAGGAGCCATCCCACTTTCAGTGCTGCCTATGACATCCTAAGTGTGATGTTGTACTAAAAGCTGGAGTTTGTCGTGTTTATTTCCCATGCTCTGTGCATTAGTGTAAAGACATGTAAGCACCTGGGAACTTCCCCTGAGCTGTTTATTTGGGATTATTGTGATCTCACTACTTGGTCCTTGTTGTGTTTGGGAAACCTTCCGTTTAGCCTTTTGGCGGTTCCCTGCAGTTGTGGATACAGTACTGTTTGCAAGGCTGTTGC